TCCCTGAGATATTTCTGTATTTGAGGATGTCGGTCTGTGATGATGCATTCCAGACGAACACCGCGGGCATCCAACAGGTCTAGGCTTCTCTTTAGGCCTTCTTTTTCCATATGGTAACTGCCGCCCACCTCATTACTCTATAAAATTTTAAATAAGGAAAAAAAATATATATAAAAAAAAATCACACATTTTCCATCCAAAAAATTATGCTAGTTCACATAACACTTTTCTGTATTACCTGGACTAACTTTAGGTCGACCACTGTGTTAGTTGCAAGGTCCATCATTGTATAACTCCCATACTTGGCCGAGTGACCTTCAAGAACAAACCGTACATAATTATTTCAAACACATTTTTGGAATAATTGTAATGTATTTCATATTTATTTTTTTTATTAGACTGTATTGAATTAGAAATGAAATCTTTTGACTAAATACCTGGGGAGTCAGCCCTCTTATCTCCTCCAACAATCACATTCTCTCTTCGACTGAGCTGTTCTAGCATTTCACTCTGCCAATTTCTCCACTTGTGGACAATAGCAGGTTCAATGCAAAGTCTTGCATGACAACAAAATGAATCATATTTAAAAATGTGTAGTTTCATGGCAGCAAATACCTGACAACAGAGAGGAGAATTTTTAGTACAATGTGCATGCACCCTGTGACAAAATTTATATTATGTTTCTAAAAGAAATGTGATAAATTTTGATAGATAATTACCTTTTCAACTACAAAAAATTATGCACCACTCAAGTAGACTGCAGCAGAAAGATGCAGGTTGCTAGCTGGAGTACTACCAATAATTGGCTGACTGTTCCATTTTCTTACAAACTCGCAGTGTGGGCAGACTTGCTGTACGCTCAGAAATGTCCCAAGCCTTTGTGACTTTACATCACATCTCCTTTGACACACTGGGCAGTCACTGAAGAGCTCCATGAGGCATGTTTCATAGACAATGAACTTGGCAATGTTATGAACTGGGCATTCTTGGATTCTGTAAAAATAAATATACACATGTACATAATAAAAAAAAAAATGATGATGAATGTTATGACGACAATACACAATCTTTCAAATAATTTACATAATGCATAAACTCACGACAAGTCTGTTGGTTCAGTTGCAGATGTGCATTCCTCTGCAGGGTCAAATCTCACATCCGAGTCTTGGGCTATAATTTTTGACTCTGTCAAAGTCTCTTCGGCTTCTTCTTCCTCCTTCTCCTCCTCCAGCTCCAGACGAGGTCTTTTTAGTGAAGGTTTGAGGGGTGTCGAAGTCATAAACGCAGTAGAGGATGCTGATGGTACAGTCAGTTCAAAACTGGATACTGTTGTCTGGACACCTATAGTGTAATTTTATGATTAATCTCATTGCACGTTTATGAAGATAATAAAACACGTTTCTAATGCAGCAACTTAAAATAAACTGAGAAATTTTAACTTACTTGTACTCCTGCGTTTAGCCTGAAGCGTCCTAAAAGACAACTGGGTACCAACACTGTGTAAAGATGTGTGAAATGGTTCTGTCTGGCAACAAACATCCACCTTGTTGCTCTTTGTCGACGTCGTGGCCTTTGTAAGAAAACATAATTTTTTTTAAAATGACCTTTATTTGATTAAAACATACCGATCTTATTGTAAACAACTGCAGACCACGTGCAAGTACAGTGAAAAAATTTCAACAAACATCCCACATACAAAACAAACTTTAGCTGTAACTTAGTCAGTGGTAATGCTTTATTACAATGTTTAATTTTTTCTACCGTTTCTTTTTCTGATGGCTAAAACCCCTTTATGGACACATTAACAATTAAAGCTTCGAGTATTTAGACTGTTTTAGAAAAGCACAATAGCTGTAAACGCGCAAACATCCTAAGTAGCTTTAGCCGCAGATGCTATTCATTTCTGCTTAACATTACAGTATACACATTACAACAAACATCCCACATAAACAACAAACTTTAGCTGTAGCCAGTACTGGTTACTGCTTTATTACAATGTTTATATTTTTCTACGGTTTCTGTTTCTAATGGCTAAAAGCCCTTCTTGTACACACTACCACTTATAGCTTCGATTATTTAGATTGTTTTAGAAAAGCATAATAGCAGTGAACACATGCAAACAAACATCCGAAGCAACTTTGGCTGCTTTTAACTTTTAGATGCTATTCATTTCGGCTTACCATTACAGTACAACAAACATTTAACAACAACAAACTTTAGCTGTAACGTTAGCCAGTGTTACTGCTTTTTACAATGTTGCTATTTTTCTACGGTTTCTGTTTCTAATGGCTAAACCCCCTTCATGTACACACTACCATTTGCAGCTTCGAGTATTTAGACTGTTTTTGAAAAGCACAATAAGAGGTAAACACTTGCAAACAAACATCCGAAGCTACTTTAGCCGCAGATGCTATTCATAGGCTTATCATAATTAGAATGCTAAGGCTAGAAGTACATAAAATGTAATACTTACTTGAAGTGAGGCAGGATCACGTATTGTAGGAACTGATCCAGTTTTCAAAAACAATTTACTCGCGAATCCGGAGTTGTATTGTCCCGCGTTCTCGAGGCAGTCTACGCTAAAGTGGTTAGCGCAAACATACAACAGTTTTGGTACATTTTCAGGCACCTTGTCTTCAAAGATAAAACTCAGCCACTTAAGCCTCTGTTGCTCATTTGCAGGAAGACGGTGAAGGCTCTTGTGCTGAGCCTTACATCCTAAAATAGCACAAGGGTGTTCTCTCGGTGGCATCGCTTCGACGTTCACGCTGATAATGGCGGAAACGGCAAACTCAGGATATGTTAATACTCGCAGCTGTCAATCAATTCGGTGGGCGGGGGGAATCGCACACCTACGTAATGGTGCGATCGATTTCAAAACAGCTCCAATTGGCCGACCCTTTTTTTTGTAGTGAAATTGAAAAAAAAGGACTGGGTGTGTTCATATCACCCCAGTATGATGGTCTATACACTATACCAACACACAGATCTGTCCAAACAGCTTGAAAAGAAGATTTTTTACAATAGGTGCCCTTTAAACTTTAGATTAAGTAAGAATTTACACTACACACTGCACGGGCAGAACTCCGCAGATTTTCCGCAGATTTTTAGCCCATCATTAATTCTGTTTATTTACTTGAGTAAATGTGTGTAAATCTATATTTATTCAGTTTTTTTATTAATTACAGTAATATGTACAATGCAGATGTACAGTATTATTTTCTGTCTTTTACTAGATATATTATATGACAAATGCTTTATTTAGCAAATAAAGTGAATCTAATAGGATTTTCATTCTAAACATTAAATAAAAAGTTAAAAAAGACATAATTTAGGTATTTCGTATATTACGGTTTTAGTTATGATACTCCCAAAATAATTCTGCAGAAATCCACAAACTTATCAAAATTCTCCGCAGAAATAGCAAAAAACGTCCACAGATTCCGTCTGGCCCGACTAATTACCTACTTATTATTAAGATATTAACTGTTTATTGGAGCTTAAAAAGAAGTATGATTTTATTTTGTCCCTAATCCTACTCAATACCAAAATCTAACGACTATCTTACTATTAATACAACCCAGGCTCATTCTGATTGATTATGTACCTCTATATCCATTTCTGGAGTGCGCCAAAAACGTCCTAGAGTTTTTATTGCAGTTTTTGATTTTGTGAATCTGCCAGTGGCCCCTGTGTACGCTTTTTCAGATATCACATTTTTCTAATAAGTGCCTTTCGAGCCTGCTCTTCTTGTGTAAATCCACCAGAGGCCGCTGTCAACTGACTTACATACTGACTGACTGATCGACCGACTGATCCTCCCACCCACACTCTTCCCTAAACTCAACTAATAGTGTTTTCAAAAGCACAGATTGACCAGTGTCCACCCATTTCCCTAAACCCATCCGACAGTGTTTTAAAATGCAATCCAGAAAAAAAGCCCTCGCAGGCACCTGGTTTCAGATTTTACCATATTCTCACCCTGTTATTTACTTGTTTGTTTTATTTTATTTATTTTTTTTGTCTTATTTGCTTTCTGGAATTGTTATTCACTGGACTCAAACCCCCGTCATCACAGTCAACTCCGCTCTGCGTCTCAAATCATACAACGTTTGCGATGAGCTACTGGACAAACTGGTCACAGCAGAAAAGCTGTTTACATGGAGGTAAGCAGTCAGCTGGTAAGCGCAAAAAGGAATGGTGTCATACCACCCTGTAGCATTAGTTTTAAAGATGAAATTCAGCCATACGTTCCTCTGGCTACATAATTTGCGATCTCCAGAAATGTATATAGGGCTACGTTTTCAGAATGAGCCTATGTTAAATTAATAAGCAGCCAATTAGTATTCACTGAGCTAATAGAGTTAATTTGAGTTAAATGTTTGATAATGATTTGGTAATAGCGTGAATTATAAATTAAAATAAAGTGTGATACGATTATTATATATTCCGCTCAATTTACAATGAAAGAGAATATATTACAAATCTTTTTTTTCAAAACCGTATCTGATCATTATTGCTGGTATTGTTCATTTAATTATTTTACAATGTGACCATGCAGTATTTCCTTGTGAATTTAAAAACAAACATTTAAATAAATTTTAAAACAATGATAGGTCATAATAATGCATGCTTTTAAGTTCAATCTGTGGTAGTTTTGGCATAAAAATGCAGCCGACAATCATTATATGGAACTGTAGGTGCATTTAACCATTGCTAATTTTGTTTTGGTGGGTGGAAAGAAAGGCTTGGTTTTACTCAAAAAGATCTTTACAAAGCATAAGGTTAAGTTGCAGCGACAAACGGCTGTACAGGAAATTCTAACCCACTCTATATCCCCTCATCAGAAATCTCACTCTAGAACAATAACCTTCTTATTCTGCTGTTTTACACCCTCTGACTCAACTCAAAGTCTGATTCACTAATAAGTAAATCACTAACCGGGAAACACCAAATATTTGATCCAGATCCACATTTTCATCTCTAGTGTAATTGCATACCTCACGAATGCGAAGCTGGAAGCTTTTTCCCTCGTGGTAGCAGTTGTAAGTTTTTAGAAGGGACAATATGTCCGACCTAAAAGAAAAAAGATATTACAATGAGCCCATTTAGTTGTGAGGAATGCTTCTAATGTTCAGTGTTTAACAGAACAGAATCTCTTACTTTGCAATAACTTTCTCCTCATTCAACCTCACATAGGAGGTCTTGACAGGATCCATGGTGGGGTTTGCTCAATAGAAAGGCTTCCAGCTAAAGAACAGTAAGTGAATGAGAAAGAAATGAGAAAGGGGCAAAGTTAATAATATCAAACAATAAGTGAGTGATTAACAGTAAATAAGGATGTGTTGTGCGTCTAATATTGTTCATGATCCAGAGGAAACATTGATTTCATCATGAATTTTGTGCAGAAGTGAAAGTAAAATAAAAGGATCAGGGAATAAAGGAAAATCACATGGTCTTACAGTCAACAGAAAGTGGAATCTTGGAGAATGGCTTGTCTCAACTCGTTTCAGACTTTCTGAAACGTCACATTTCAACAGCCCATTTTTCAACTTTTTGAAGAATTCCCTCACAGTGGTTTCATAGTGATCACATCACATCTGACAAGCTCTACAAAAACTACAAATCCACTTAAAATGCCCATATTTTCAAACCATAATCTCCACCTTTGGAACTCCAAAACCACACTATTTTAAAATTCAAAACTGTCAAGCCACAACCAGTCACATGGCCTGTGAGACTCGTGTCTGATTTGACATTTAACTGGTCATTTTTAAATCTGGTATTGATAAAAATGATATTCAAATGACATTATATTTATATAAAATTAGGCTACTCAATCGGTCACTGATCTGTAATAATAATCACACAGCAATAAAGTAATTATCCACAATGATAGAGGAATTCATCAGTAATGATAACCAGTTGTTGTCAGTCGCATGCAGAAGACAATTCATTTAAATGTATTGCACATATTTAACCACAATAGCATTTGCCAGGGGACAAATATGCTGCCCTTGATTTCATTTAGCACAACTAGAATTACAAGAAACAGTCTACATCCACATAAATAGTCTCTACCTAACAAAAATGTGGCACTAAAAAAAATAAGAAAACTATAATTGTGTAGCTCTAACATCTTACTTATGTCCTTGTCCAGTTACAAAATGTTTCATCACCTAATAAAACAGTGATTTGGATGAATCAAGTGAACCAATAATTTAGTCAATTATACATGAACACAATTGCTCACCTAATTTCATAATAAATTATCTGTCTGAAGAACCATCGACACTATTACTAAACATTTATTACTTTTTATTACTCTTTATTACTCTCACATCTGTGATTACTACTCACATCTGTGAGGCTTAAATGAAAGGGATCGAATTCAGTCAATATTAATGACAGGAAATCAGAAACTGAATGGAGCATTTCTAAAATACATTGTAAGTATTGCTGTAAAATGGACAGTATTACTGGCAATTTTGGTTGTCGGAAATACTGTGAAATTTATAAGCGCACTGCAAATTAACAATTACTACAGCATAGTTGTAATAGTTAATTTACAGTGCACTTGTAAAATTGACCAAATAATAATGTAAAAATTCCCAGTAATACTGTAAAATGCACCAACACACTGTAAATGAATACTTACATTTGCACTTTAAAACTACAGCACAGTTGTAATTGTTAGTTTACAGCATACTTGTAAATTTGACCAAATAATAATGTAAAAATTCCCAGTAATACTGTAAAATGCACCAACACACTGTGAATGAACAATTACATTTGCACTGTAAAACTACAGCACAGTTGTAACTGTTAAATTACAGCGCACATGTAAATTTTACCAGTAATACTGTAACTTTTACAGCAATGTTTTTTTACAGTGTACATTATAAGGGGAGTACTTTTTAAGTGATAAATTTCAGGTACTTTCACTTTTAATATATCTCCAAAAAACAAAATGGCTTCAACAAAAAATAAACAGCAAGTTTGTAACAACATGAGGGTCAGTAAATAATCACAGACATTTCATTGTTGAGTCAACTGCATTATAAATTGGGAATTACTCATAACTTGTATAAAATGCATGAGCAATTTTTCAAAGATTCTTACAGCAGTGGGCTTTCGGTATTTCCCACTCCGTTTTATCAGAGTTCAAATGGCTTGATCCTGTGGGAGAATAGTGACAATGAACCAGGAATTTCCAGGAGTGGCATAAGAACCGGGAAGTCCCTCAGAGGGAGTATATAATGACAACCGGCACTTCAGCTTTCACACACAGTAAAACTTTCATCATGACACAGATAGCTTATACTTTGTTGGCTTTGAACCTCTGCTTTATCTTAACAGGTGAGTAAATCGAAACTGACAAATTACAGTAGACACCCAAACTATAATCTAAAACAGTAACTGAACCTGCTGGATTATACGTTTATATGCTGAGCTGGTAAACTTTTACTTAATTACGTCTTATTAAATCAGTGTATAAACTAGATTAACACAATTAATAATAAATTATAATAATTGTAATGCAATTTAATTATACACTGCCAATGCTAATTTGGGGTTAATAAGGTTTTTGAGGAGTATGATCACTTGATAAAAACACAATAAAATTACTAGCTTTTATTTTATAGTTTATAGTATTTAATTGGTAGCTTTATATTTTGATTAGCAGATTTTATTTTAAACAATATAAAAGAAATAAAAAAAACTCATACTATAATCATTGTTGATAATTGTGCTGCTTTTTTAGGATTCTTTGATATACAATTCATTACAACTTAAAAAAAAATAAAAAAATCTATTAAAATCTCTTACTGACAATTTTGATCAATTTAATGCACGGTTGCTAAATAAAATACATTTAGTAACAGCTTAAATCAGGGAACATATTTACTAGTTATTAAACATTTTATCTTAATAAACTCCTATTTATTAAATGGTGGGAGTAAAATGGTTGTTGCTAAGGCATGGGGTTAATAGATTTAATATTTTCTATAAATATCCTAATTGTTTTGTGCTACCAAAAAAATCGTACTGACATAAATACATTTAAACAGTAATGTTTTGCTAAAAGTATTATTATTTGTTACCGTTGTGTTATATCATGTATGTTTTTTTTTTTTTGTTTAACTTCCTCTTTTTTCCAAAATACAGCTCAAGTAGTAGAGAGTCAACATGTCCCAAAGACCTGTCAGTGTCCACAAGTCCAAAAAAGAGTCCGGGGGCCATTTTCAGACTTGAGAATCACTCCAAAAGGGCCAAGCTGCTTACAGAATGAAATCATGTAAGCACTTCCCATTTGTTTTATTTTGCTTCATAAGACTGTACACATATAGCATGTGCACTACTGCATTTACATTACTACTTACATTTACATTACTGTTATTCTTTGTATTTTTCTAGAGTCACACCGAAGAAGACCAATAAACCGGTATGTCTTAGTCCGGAGGGTCCTCAAGGCAAAAGTCTAATGAAATGTTGGAACAGGTAATAGATTGTTATCACTAACAGGAGTCGCACAGCGTATCCAAACATCACTTACTACCACAAATATCATGGTGGTCTGCATGTCCTTATCTGCTGCTCTGTAAGTCAACTAAATGTTTTTTTTTTTTTTTTTTTGTAGGACGCAAAAGGCTGGCATAAACCACAAAATATGCTTACGGCCAAGGCAAAGAAAGGGGAAGCAGGTTAAATCTAAGAAGATCACGTCTTAACCTCACCTATGTAGGCAAACCAATTTTACAAGCAATCTCTAGAAGAGAAATCTCTTCAAAGTCAGTGCAAATGCAGTGGTGCTGCTCTACTCTTATATGCACCAAACAAGCCAAGAACATAAGAAAAAGTAGATTCAGACGTGTGCACATATGGAGGGCAAAGGGACAGTATTTAAAGAAGGCATGTTACAACAAGGGTAACATTAAACCTTGTCATGTTAGACATGGATGAGCTAAACCCTGCTATGCAGGTCTATACTGGACAGTTGAAGATGCTATGTTTATATTAAATGTATATAGAGATTATGTGAGAACAAATATTTTAGTTTACAATGTAAAATTAACTAATATAATAAAATATGAACTTCCAAAAGGGTGTGTCTGTGTGTCTGATTGTTTTCTTTTTGAAATTTTATGGAAAATATAAGCTTGTCGGATCTACAGTGCTCAGCATAATTGAGTACAACCCATTTTGAAAATGATTATTTTGTATCCATTCCTTAGTGAATATAGTCAATGTATTTTGGCGCTTTTAAACAAAACAAATTTATTAAAACATACATATTTATTAAAATAATATTTTAGTCTCCCAACATATTTAGAAATTAAAATAATTCAATTAAATTCTAGCAAAAAAAATATTGCAAAAAAAAAATTACAACCTACAAAATTACAAAAAAAAAAAAAAAAAGTTTATTTTTTTCTTGTATTTAATATTTTTCTATAACATATAAATTTGGGTGTACTAGTCTTTATACTGCCATCGTAAGTAATTTTGTTAGATAAGCTACAGATCTGGCTTCAGTATACTGACTAATCTAATGTATGCACAAATATAATATTGTATAGCTTCCTATTAAAAATATGAATTTAAAAGATAGATTTGTGAGGGGTGTACAGTATATATGCGGAGCACTGTATATACCTAGTCAAACACTTAATAATTACTTTTGACAACATAAATAAATGTACTGATTTAGCCATTGTAAAACTATAATTTACATGATACTACATGAAGCACATGGTTATCTAATAAAAAGTATGCTATTTTTATTTTTGTTGGTTTCTTTTAAATTACAATAAGTCTACTATAACCGCATTTCTTCAGTGTTTGAAACAACTTCCAACAGATTCCTTCTAATCTGCACAAATACGAAGTACGTCATCTGCTTTTACCCAGAGAAAATATCAAATGTCTAAATATTCTTATATAAAGAATGATGAACAAAGTTCTTTTGTATTTGTATACAATATGCTAATTTAAGAATTAGTTTTTCTTTTCTTTTTTTTTTTTTTGCAATGCATGTTACATTTAATGCCATGACTTTATATAATTAGAAATTTGAGCTTGGGTTAGTTCATAAGACTTAATGTGGAAGCTTGAATCAAAACTTTTAAAGTACTTTTTAAATGCACAAAAGTTGGGATGAATTATTATGGTATGGTAGAAAGCCATGTCATGACAAGATGAATTTTCCATCATATCAAACTATTTGAATTTGGGCATGAGTGGGCATGATATGATAAACAATACTGCTGCTTTCTCAATAAACCCCTAAAAACATAATCAACCTTTATCTACATCTTGTGAACACAGGCAGTTTCTTATCAGATTTCATTTGTATTTTAATGCTAAATTGTTTATTTAGAGTTTTTTAATTCAGCATGAGGGAAAAAAAAACATAAAATGCAAAACTTCTTAAATGTCTCTCTGTATTTATAGTCACCTAATGTCAAATGCTTAGGTTTCCTTTAAAAAAAAACACTTTTACAATAGTCAAAGTAATAATCAAACCCTTTTAAATGATTTTATAAATAACCATTTGCAAAGATTAATTTTCATTATAATTAATTTTAGATTTAAGTTATTCATAAAACCTGTCTAAATTAATTCACAGAAGTCATAGAATTGTCTTGAAAGAGCTAAAGAATTCACCATTCAGCAAGAAAAACTTATTCTAAAATTCCTAAATTATAGCCACTCAAAATAATAGCGTCTCAAACCATAAAAGCAATCTTTGCAAGGTGCGCACACAGGTATTGAGAAATCACTTGTCTTGAAGCATTTACTAGAAACCATGTGACTCTTATCCTGCTTAATATGGAAAAACAGGAAACGCATAAATGGAAAAGTGAAAAACAAGGAGGACAGTTCAGTGCACACTTGAGAAAGACAGACAAACAGAAATGGCTTTCAAAACTCTGCAAGCAAGTGTCAAAGTCCTGCTCCTGCTCTCAGTCTGTTCACACTTTATCTCAGGTACAGTAGCATTTGAAAACTTATCAGGGCTGTTTACAGATTTCTGCCAGATACTGGTCATGGAGGTGATGTTGAAATGCATGTTTTTTATTTCTGAAATCGTCTTTAGTTAAAATGACAGCTGCAACATTCATCCGAGAAAAATGTGAGTGTGTTAAGGAGGCTGGAGCAGTGCAGTGGAGAAAAATCACAGACTACACAATCACTCCGAAAAATCCTCTTTGCAACAAGGTTCAAATCAAGTGAGTACAGAAGCGCACTCTCTCACATTTATGAATACGGTGGATTTTAAAATGTTTAATCCATTACATGAAGGCATGTACTGTAAAAAATAAAAATATCTAAATGTGGTGATTCATTTGCAATTTTATCAGATGATATTCTTAGTTTAAATTAAAATTCTGTCATCATCCGTCACCCTCATGTCCTTCAATACTCTTTTTTTTTTATGTGCAACACAAAAGCTGTTGTGTCAAATGCTTTAAAAGTGCTTGGTGATTACTGGCTCACTGGGAGCCACAAATTGAGACATGAATTTTGTATATTGATAATATATTAATTACCATGCAATTGCAACCTTTTAAACATTTAGCAATTAATTAATGCGAATGTGTCAGGATGTTACACAATATTTCATGTTGAGACGCATCACAAGAAATAATTTAACTGAAGGGAAGCCAGGTCATGGCAAGATGAGTTTTTCGTCATTTTGCAGATTGAATTTAGGCATGAGTGGGCATGCTATGATAAACAATCCCACTTTACTCTCTCAAGAAACTCTGGAAATATTAGCTTTCTTATCTAATAATCTATGTCATTTTCCAGTGGTGTTTTAATGCTAAATGGCTTATTCTGTAGATAGAAAGAAAAAAATAACACTAAATTAAAAAATTCTCAAAATGTTGTGCTGAATCTCTGCTCATTGTATCATTGCTCGCAAAGTAGTGCGACACGAGTTAAATGCCTCTGATCAAATGTTGTTGTATGTTAATGCCTGCAATAGATTGCACATATCTGACAACATGCTGATCTCCTCCACAGACTCCAGTTGTCAAATAAAGAAGTGTGTCTAAATCCAGAGTCCAAGCAGGGGAAAAAACTGCAGAAATGCTGGCAAAAGTAAGTGAATGTACAGGCTGACCTTAAAGGTTCTACAAATATGTAGGCCCACACAGAAGCTGCATGTGCAGAAATCAGCAGATACTCTGCAGATTTTTAACCAGTCACAGAATCTATTTTATTTGCTAATCTAAATGTGTGTAAATAAATATATTTGTTCAGTTTTAAATAAATTTTAGCAATGTTTATATGAGTAACTTACTATACAGTTTGTAAAGTAATATTTGCTGTCTTTTAGTAGATACAGTGCTCAGCATAAATAAATACACCCCTCACAAATCTATCTTTTAAATTCATATTTTTAATAGGAAGCTATACAAAATTATATTTGTGCACATACATTAGATTAGTCATTACTGAAGCCAAATATGAATTTTATCTAACAAAATAACGTATGATAGCGGTATAAAAACTAGTACACCCAAATTTACTTGTTATGGAAAAATATTAAATACAAACTTTAAAAAGAGAAAACATCAAGAGAAACAAACAAAAAAAAATTAGAAAAAAATAGTTAAAATTGTAAGTTATTTATTTTTGCAATGTTCTGCTTAAATTTTATTGTATTATCTTTCACTTTCCAAATATGTTTGGTGACTAAAATGTTCTTTTAATAAATATATCTGCTTTATAAATCTGTTTTGTTTAAATGCACCCAAGTACATTGCCTATACTCACTGAGAAAATTGATAAAATATTCATTTTTAAAACAGGGTGTACTCAATTATGCTGGGTACTGTATATCATACAATGTTTTTTATCAAAAAATCTAATTAGATTTGCATTGTAAACCTTAAACTTAGTAAGTCATTGTTTATGCAAGTCATTTTTTATTTCATGTTTTCAGTTTTTTTGTTACTTTACACCCAAAATCATTCTGAATAAATCTGCAGAATTAAAAAAAAATAATACTGTGCAGAAGAAACAAATAATGTCCGCAGATTCCGCCTGACCCTGTATATGTATAAATTAAGAACACTTATTTTGAAACTCAAAATTTAAAATGTGTGCAACACTGACACTCTGTGGCAGGACAAATCACTAACATGAACATACAGAGGATTTAACATCCATACAAAAGACAAAAAATATTTATAACATACTTATATTGTACACTATATTAACAAATAAAAAAAGCATGAAACAATTAATGCCATATGTGACACTAGAAGCTCATGGTTTACAGATTGTATGCATTGTAGCTGTTGCTGATACTTTCAGAAAGGGCTGAGTCAGGAAAAAATCAGTCTCTTGGGAATATTAAGTGTCACATTGCTGTTAATGGTGTAAACTGATTTAAATTGGAGATTTTTTTTGCCTGCTCAGCTCAGAGCCTTTCCCAAATAATTAAACCCTTTCATTGTTCTATTGTCTAGAATTAACTTCAACCCACAGAGGAAGAAGGTCTGTCTGACGATCAAGAAGAATGCACCAAAAAGACTCAAGAAGCTTTAATTTAACAATTCTGTTACTGTGTGTTCTGTATTGTAATACATAATAATTTACCTTGTCTGTTTTTTATTTGTTCAAATATATATTATTATGTAGATTAAATTTGTAAATACATTTTTGTGCTGTTATTTTCTAATAAAACCTTAAACCTATACGTGTTTGCATATTGGATGTGACTATAACATATAATATAACATATAATAATAATAATAATATTAATGGGCTGCACAGTGGCACAGTGGGTAGCACGATCGTCTCACAGCAAGAAGGTCACTGGTTCGAGTCTTGACTGGTTCAGTTGGCATTTCTGTTTGTAGTTTGCATGTTCTCCCGGTGTTGGCGTGGGTTTCCTCCGGGTACTACGGTTTACCCCACAGTCCAAAGACATGCCCTATGGGTGAATTGGGTAAGCTAAATTGTCTGTGGTGTATGTTTGTAAATAAGTGTGTATGGATGTTTCCCAGTCATGGGTTGCAGTTGGAAGGGCATCAGCTGCGTAAAATATATGCTGGATAAGTTGGCGGTTCATTCCGGCGGTTCTTATCAAATTGTGGCGACCCCAGATTAATAAAGGGACTAAGCCAAAATGAACATGAATGAATGAATAATAATAACAATGCAAAAACATAAAATTAAAAATACAAATTCCACAACGAGTCTAAATAGGCATGTGTTCATATAATTAAAATCAACATAAAACATGAGAAGTATTTAAATATTCTATGACCTAACCCCACCTCTGTCTATGACCATTTTCATAAATTATTAATTTCCTCTTTGTGAGAAAACGCCATCAAAATATGCACAATCAACAATGTCCACCAGAAAGAAAGAAAACACCCCTAAAAATGCATTAGACTGATTTAAAACCAAGAGGTCCTGTCTAGAGATGCTCTCCACCTGCATAAAGAAATTACAACACGAAACCCCCCTGCCCACCCAATCAATTACTGAAAACCAGCTGTGGCTACCAGCTGCACGAATACATCAAGCAAAGAGTCCTTAACCACTTCTGGATTTATTTATGGCTATTTTGCACAAATTGGACAGGAATTTGGAAGACAGGCAAAATACAAAGTTCCATATAGACTGATATCTGATTTGCTTCCATCATGAAACATGCAAACATTACAAACATATTACAGTAGTGCAAATCGACTGCAAATGTGGTTTACAGAAGCTTCGCTCAAATACAGTTTATTTGAACAACTGTTTAAAATCACACACCTGATAACAGCTTCAGAAGAAGTCAAGGTAGCCTTCAAATGAAGACACTAGTAGTGCATAGAGGCGGCTCACCTGCAGAAATTATTCAGAAACACACCTCATGTAAAACAATTGTCATTAATAATGCACTCATTATCATTTGTCACATTCTGTTCTCCTTACCATCTCGTGAAACGCCGTCCCTTTGTAAGAGTCGACAGAGCCCAGCTGTTTTGCAAGGCGCAACCTCTTATCTTCCACTCCACTCTTTTCACTTCACCCTGCCGCTTCCTCGGGGAAAAGACGGTCAAAATAATGCTGCTTCTTGAGAAGACTGACAGCAGTGTAAACCAATCACACACGCCTCTGAGTACACGAGCCAATCAAAGAAGTTCGAGGGCGGGAATTGTCTACGGTTGCCCTGGGAAACGCTAGGTCCGTTCGCACCAATATTAGCATGTCTGTGAGATAATTATCAGGAGTCTTGCGATAACCACGAGACAATTTAGCTGCTAATGAAAGGGTGCTGCTAAATTGTGTTCAGCCCACCTGTCATATTAAAACTTCATTAAGCTGTAGGGTTTTCATCCTTTTAATGCTGTACTTGAAAATAAAATGTGTAAGGATTTACATTTACAAGTACAACGCAACATTTGAACGTTCATTTTAATCTTATTAGTGGGAAGACAGGCTTCCTGTTTTTTTAACTCAGTCTGAGAATAAAGTATCATCTAGGAAAATATGACACCAAAAGGTCGACAAAAATATTTGAGGAAGTCGCTGCTTTGAGCTGCCAAGACACTTCCCCCATGGGAAGAGGAAGACGTATTTGTTTTAAAGAGGAAATTATTATATTAACGGAACTGCTGACTAATTATGCATTTAGAAACATCTATCTCTAAACTAATCAAATACTCAAAATATTTCACTTAGCAGTGAAAACTAATATAGTAATCATCAAATAAGTCTCAGATGTGATACACTAAAAATACTGGATCATTTCAATCCAAAATTGGGCAAAATGTGACAAACCCAACCATATAAAATTAAACATGGCAATTCAATTTAGTTCAAATATTTACAAAGTGGTTGTTTTTGGTCATATTTAAAATAATTTGGGTTAAATGATCCACTATTTGTTCTTTGTTCATTGTTCTTGACCCAACATTTTTTAGAGTTGCTATTCAGAAAGTAAACTTAAAAGACATACAGTAATAAGATATAATTTTCATGTAAAGATTTAGATTGGCTGATCAATGTGGCTATTAGATGTACAGTTAGTTCCAGGCAGCATTCACCATTACAATTTCATATGGCCTTGCCAGATAATCTTGCTTGCATTACTTTTCTAAAACAGCAAATATATACATATACACACACACACACACACACACACACACACACACACATATATATATATATATATTCTCTTGTTATTCTTACTCCGATAGGAGATTCATCAAACTAATATACCCTACAGTTAAAGTGTCTTAGATGTAATCCAAGTAAGTACCACCTCCAAAAAAAGTTTTCACACCAAAAAAGTTCTCCAAGCACCATTATAATGAACAGTATACAGTATTTATTTATTTATAATTTTTTTTTAAAGGGGTGTTCAAGAATGTAATTTTAAGGCTTGGTTGTGTTTATAAGATGCAAAGCAATGTGTGCTCATGTTTCACTTGAAGGTAATCACGTTGTTTTTCATATATCTCACTTTGATTAAAACAGCTACTCAGCAAACATGAAAATGACTGTCAAATTTCCTAGTTTCTCTGAAAGGCCCACCCTTAAGTGACTCTGTTTGGTCAATGTCATAATGTGCTGCTATTCGCGGATTGGCTCAACGTCACGCCCGTAAAAGCATGCGCTTTTCTGCTGTGTAAACAATCAGTCAACCTCCTGCCTGCTCTCTTAAATAAAATCTGACAAGTGTCTGTAACGAGTGAAAATGGGGTGCGGCTCCTTTAAGAGCGTTTGTCATTGTGTGTGCGTGTGAATGTTGTCTGCGTCTATGTGTGTGTGTGTGTGTGTGTTTGTGTGAGTGAATGTGTGAACTCTCTGTAACAAGCGTATGTGCATGGAGTTTTTTTTCTTTTTCTCTGATGCTCGGATTAAGTTATTTTCTGTAATATATCATGACAGAAGAATAAAGCACAAGATGTGGGATGCTACCTGTGTGAGCCTTGATTTGTTTTTCTGCTGCTACCACGAGTCAGGTGAGCTATCCTGTAATTTTTTTAACTCTATGCATTACACGACGCCTTTCACATGTATCCGGAATATGCATGTGTAAGTAACATGAATCATCCACATATCTTTTGCGACTTAATTATCTGAGATGTGAAACGCATGGAAAAGCTCCCTAAAGACAATCAATGCAGTCGCGCACACACATAAGAGACACGAACGTGCTGGTGGAGTGTGTGTGTGTGTGTGTTTACAGCAGTTTGAATGATTTAACAAATAAAAACACTTACAGGTTGTAGTTCACAGCTTCTGCTTTGAGGAGATTTTAGCCGAATCCAGCACTGAACTGGGCGAGATTCTGGAAGCTGTTTTGTCAAATCATGCTTGCTGTGTATTTTGTAGTTCTCTGGAGCATCATAATTAATATTGAACTGTAAGCACTTCTGTCTTTGTGTCGTGTTCTTTGGAAGCCCAAATACAGAAACAGATGAAACTCTGTGGAAACAGCAGTGTTTGGACGCATTGTTAGCTTCATCTCTGCTATAACGTTACAGCTCCTCTGGCCGCAGCCCTTATCTGCGCAGTGTGCGTGCGCAGTAAACGAACCTTTGTGATCTCAGAGGGGGCGGAAGTATTTTTTGTAGTCCCCAAAATTCGTTCATTGTAGGCTTTGCTAAGCTAACTCTGTAAAAACCAAGGTCTCCCTTTGCATTGAACTTAGAACTTATTACATTCAGAGATGTTGTTTATGTTCACACAGCTACATTACACACCAACTAAAGTTTAAAATATGATATCATTGTGGACCACCCCTTTAACTCAGTCATTGACACTGACCAAGCATAAATCTATTTAAAAAGAAAAAAAAAGCTAACTATTTTCTTGTTATTTTCCAACTTTGTTTTTAAAATGATCTCTAGAAAGCACTTATTCTTTCCCTTGCTCTGTAAAACAAACACACACAAACATCTTTTTTTGTTTGTTTCTTCTCTCTATAGTCAGCGTACAATATTTCTTCAAAAAATTGTAATTATTTCCCAAAAAGTGCACAAATTATCAGTTGGATTATCATGTCTGTTGCAAGGTCCGTTTATCCCATTGGAAGCAAACTAATCTCACATTTCATTTGAACAAAAAAAGATACTAATATCAAATAATGTGAAACATTGAAATGAAATGTTTCCACAGAAGCACAAATAAAACTGTACTTCTGCTATTGGAATGGAAAACATTGTCCCAGTTCACCACAGAAAAACATGAATCATTCCAGCAGTGACTTCATCCAAAACATTTATTTAAAACAGCATAAAAATATCTTTGTAAATTCTAAAAAAAATAATAATAATAAAAAATTCTAATTACATCATTTAAGAGTAAAAGGCTTACGGGTTTTCCCCAGAGCCTTCATTTTTAATTTGAACATCATTTTGAGTTCTTATAAGGGATTAAGAGGGAAGATCAAGTAAAATAAGTGGATTTCTATTTGATGATGGCTTAGCTTTATTTGAGTTTGTAGCCTAATTCTTCTTATTGGTGTAGCGAGAATCATTGCCTGACCCATTGATGTTCATAGATTTTTCACTCCAGTTCTTTTCAACAGTGCTATTTCTGCTTTGTGACTCTCCATTAGCAAATGGCAGTAAACCGCTGCAGCTATTCAATAAACACAATAAAACCACAACAAAACATGCAAATCATTTATTTAGTGAACAATTGTCATTAAGTCTGTGAAGTATAATACACATGATGGCTGCATATCTTATGTTACTCAAGTATTGAAGATGTTGAAGTCATCTATACAGGTTAATGGAGAGGACTAATGCCTTGGGGGTTGTTGTTCAGTCTTTAGGCTTAAAACCTTCTCGTCTGGGTCAGTAAATGATGAATGGAATCTCTTAATTGTATTGACGTATGAAGACGGATGGATGGATGGATGGATGGATGCAGGAGACCCAGGCTTAAGGTTACAGACTGGAATAAAAAGCAGTTCTCTTTTTTTTTCCAGCAGCTCACTCTTTTAAAAGAAAGATGTTAAAGATTATAAGCATATATTTGTTTTCAGTGTGTCTCAAGTATGATTTCCTAAAATGTTTGTGGTTTAAACACTGCCCTAAAATGGATGCTGCTCACAAACATATGGATTTGAAATGCCATTTTGGGTTTATGTTCACTATGTTTAAAATGACAATGTGCCTTTGTGAAGACTTAATGGAGTTTTTTTTTTAATGATCTGATGCCTAAAGGGTTTATTTATTTGATGTTACCACATGTAGCAACTTTTAAATCACTACGAGTTTGAACAGTGTGTTTGCTTTTGATCTGCTGTTAAATTTGTACATTACAAATTATTGCAATGTGGTAAAAAACGTGGTTTATAAACAAATAATTTACAAAACAATGAAATTGTTTTTAAAAAGTGCTATTTGAAATTTTCTACACAATTTCAACATTGATAATGATTATATATGTTTTTGAGCAAAAAATATAAAATATGTTCAAATAGAAAATAGTTATTTTGGATCATATTAATTTAGAAGTCGCACTACTCATATTACTGTTTACTTATATTTACATTATTCATAGCCTCTCCCCATTAAGCTGCATTTATCAGAGTAAAAAAAGTAATTGAAAAATTTATAAATAAGAATAATTAGGTTATATTATAACTGTTTAACCATTTTTTTCCTAATAAATGCATCCTTAATGAGCATAAGAGATTTATTAATTAATTAAATCCTAAAGGGGAATGCTTTATAACTCTTTGAGTCTGAACCCTTATGTTGAGTTCAGACTGCACGATTTTCAAAGTAGTCGTGTCATGGTTTTCACACTTTATGACTATCTGGGGTAGTGTTCCATTGCTGCTGTTTACACTGCAAGATGGATTGGCAACAGGGGGTTTCACACTGCATGACTTTACAATAGGAAGAATTGCCGACAACTTTGTCTCAGTCCACAAACCATGTCTCAAAACCAAACATATACGAGTGATATGGAAACAACGAGGTTGCATAGTATATATTTTGGTATTAACTACATAATGTGAAAGAAGTTTTTAGTGGGGTAGAAAATGCACTTATTTTGCTCACCTGGGTTTTGAAGGGATTTAACAATTTCTCTTACATTTTTTTCATTTCAACCCGGTTTCACCCAGATCACAATTCACATGGAAGAACTGAATCACTGGTCCAGAAATTTAGCATGTCATTAAGCATGTTGACTTATCTGCGATTTTTCCAGATCCCCTCTTTGATAGTTCACACTGTGTGATTGTTTCTCATTTCAGGCATTTGATGGCGATTTCTCAAAACCTTTCAGCAAGACAAAATCGTGGCTAAAATCAGTATGAACTCTGCATTAGTCTTTAATTCAAATTGTGTTATTTTGGTGACTGTCACTTTAAATTCAAATAAGATTTAAATGAGATTGTGCTCTTTCCAAAAGAGGGCGGAACTACAAACGCCTATGTGTGAGTGGCTGCACCCGAAACCGCATACTTCCATACTATATAGTACGCTAAAAACAGTATGCGAGCCGAGTAGTATGTCCCAATTCATAGAATTTGAAAATCAGTATGTGAAAAGTACCTAGATGACTTACCACTTCCCGCGAGATTCTGAAGTGTATCCCCTGCAAGCTACGCTATCCCATGATGCCCTGTGAGAGAATTCATGAATACAGCAACGCAACTAAGTAGGTAGGTCCTGTGACCATGACAAAATGGTGGATTTAGTACGTCCAAATTCCATTCATACCTTTTAAATTCATACTGCATAGAACAGTGGTTCTCAAACTTTTTTCATCAAGCACCACCTTAGAAAAAAATTGTCTCTCCAAGTACCACCATAATGAGCAGTATTGAAAACAGTGGCATAGTAGGCCCAGTAAAGCAGCTACGGCTCTGCACAGTTCTAAAACGTGGCAGATTAATTCCTATTATTAAGAAAATTTATTATTGTCAGCCTGATCGTAAATAGTTTGAACGTAAACACTGTACTGTGCTTATATGTAAACAAACAAACAAACAAACTAAAAAGTCAACTTTTAAATTAAAATGTGCTTTTAAAAGTTAAAAATGGTAGGTTAATGTTCGTAAAAAGTACAAAGAAAAGTGCTGTACTTAAATGTAAAGTATTAACATATAGTAGCCAATTCATGAACACCTGGAAATGTTGCCATTTTGAAATATATGGAGCATATACATATGACACATTTGATATATGCGCGTACCACTAGATGGAAGCCTGCGTACCACAGTTTGAGAATCACTGTTATAGAACATTCTTTTCTAATGATTGAGTAGTAAATTCAAATGCATTACCTACTGAGTAGTAGGCGGTTTCGGACGCAGCCAGTGTCTCAGAAGAAGGCAGTCTATGAAGATTACAATGTTCATTTGTACATCCTAAAACTCAACATTTATAATCCTCTTAGTCGCTGATATTATCTTTAGCTGGTGTAAACTCTAATACCAGACGGCTGCTTCTCACTCAGGGCTTTTCCTCAGATGACATGTACAAAGGAAGAATGTCAATCAAAGTGTTTCTGCAGACTGTTTTCATCAAGTGTGATTATAAATAATGGGATTAATTCATTTTTACCATTTAAGGCTGACTATATTAACACACTGTTGCCACACAACTGTGTTTAAACCCCTTGTAAAAGTAATTTTGTATTTGTTTCTTTGTTTTAAATGATGTTAGTGTAATGCATGTTAAACCAATTTCTTCATTTATGACCATGTCTCAGTACATAAAAACATTTTGCTCATGAAGAAGAGGCATTAATGTATTCATTTTTCACCAGCATATGATGCCACATCACTCACACTTACAGTGTAATCATTGGTGCTTTATCTGATGTGGTCTCCTCTGATTCCACCTCATGATATTCTTCCATTTCAGTATCATTACTTCTGAGGCTCTTAATAAAGTGCACATTCCTTCTGTCTGTTTGTCTTTTCTTGTGTTGACCATTCTTCAATGACTGATCCCTGTCTGTTAAGTCATGAATTCGGCTGTTGTTAGGAATAAAAGATGCTCTTTTGCCGGAGATGACGTTAAAGAAAGAGAACGTGTCTTCAGAGTCTCCTCTATCTTTGACACAGACAGAAGACAGAGCCGGGTCACCATAGAAAACTCTGGACTCTTTAGGCACATCTGACTTCTTTTTTTTGCTCAGTATGAAGTTAAAGAATCCGGTCACAACCAGCATAATCCCTGTAAAGAAAAAAGCAAATGTTTCTTAGTTCATTTTAACTTGTAAACCACCAGTCAAAAGTTTGGAAACAATGAGAAACATTAATGGACTTCATGAAGACCGCATTTATTTCATTAAAGAAAACGTGGTAAAAATAGTTACTAGTAGTAGTATTATTGTAACTATTAAATCTTAATATAATTTCAGCTTAAAAATAAGTGCGTCTTACACTGAAAACAAATGACACTTTGAACCAACATACAAAATTACTGTAATTTGTTACAGCCACAACTTTGATTAAAAAAATTAAAATTTCATTCAAAAAATGTAATTGTAGTCAAGAAAAAAATTGCATTCACGCATAGTAAAAATATTGTTTAATATAAAGATACTAAATAATTTTTTAACTATATTACCAAGTAAAAACCTTAATTAAATAACCCAGATCAAAGTATCATTTTGCTTAGGACCAACCAAAAAAATAATAATTTGCTGTAATTTGTTACAGCTAAATTTCAGTCAGTCATTCATTTTCTCTTTGGCTTAGTCCCTTTATTAATCTGGGGTCACCACATCTTATCCAGAACTTATCCAGCACGTTTTTTTTATGCTGCAGTTGCCCTTTCAGCCGAAACCCATCTCTGGGAAACATCCATACAGACTCATTCACATTCATACACTACGGACAATTTAGCCAACCCAATTCACCTGTACCACATGTTTCTGGACTATAGGGAAAACCGGAGCACCCCATAGGAAACTCATGGGAACACAGGGAGAACAGCACCTTCTTGCTGTGAGGCGACAGCACTACCTACTGCGCCACTGCGTCACCCACACAAAATCAAAAATATATTTTAATATTAATCAAAATAAATTAAAAATACATTCAGTCAAAGGTAAAGATGATGAATTAATTGATGAATTAATTGAATTACCATGGTACAACTTACTTGTAGTTGTGCTAAACTATTATAAAAACATATGTTGTTAGTCTATGCTATCACTATAAACTATCTGCTGGTGCTTTCAGTATGACTATTATATGTCATGGTAACAACAAAATACACATCAGAAGTACATCAGAAGTACATAAAAACTGAAAGCACATAAACAGTACCTATTTTCATGTGGTCACACAACATAAAAATAGCTGTTTTAAAGTAAACATATTATTTTGAGAAAAACTGGGTGGTTTTTACATGCTCTTGGATTCACAAATGAATTATTCAGCAATCAAATTTAATATGGAAATTACTAAACATTGTTCCCTTTTAGCATATATTAACATATTTAATTGGTTTCATTTACAGTTTAGCTTAATTAATTGGTGAAATATATTATTCTTTTTTAAATATTATTATTATATTTTAAACTAAAGTATCAATTCATACATTTATTAATATATTTTCATATATTTTTTACACAATAAAGTGAGGCACCTGGAATCACAGCATGCCATACAAGCACCGGATGCAGGAAACACATCACAGACATCATTGTGTAGTACAGGAATTTTTGAAAACCTCCAACTTTGGCCATCTTCTTCCAAAGAATGAACATCTTCCAAGTTGGTGGACAACTGCAAGCAAAAATGCAGTTACTATAATGCAGATCACACTGCATCTGCAAATGATTCCTGTGCAATTTGTTCAAACCCACGGAAGACATGTAGCCAACAGAGCGTCAATAAAATAGGCGACTTCAAAAATCATAATCACCAGCGAGGACAGTCTAGGGGAAAAAAACAAAAGCAATGCAGTGGTTTAAAAAAATACTCAACAATTAAGCCAGACAATGGTATAAAAAAGTCAATTTTTTTTGCAAATTCACTTGTTTTGTTGTTTATTTATTTTTAATTTGTATCTATTATTCTTATCATCACTCTCCACTATATCCTAAAAGATACAATAAAGTACAGTCTCGCACGTTTTTACACTAAAAATTCCTGATTCACTATACAGTAACTTAGTTAACTTTATAACAAGTTAACTTTATTGACTTGTTCTTTCTTATTTCTTTTATCCATAGACACAGTACAGGTTCATTACCATTTAGCAGTTATTTGATCATACATTTCAGGCTGTTTATGGTATTCTGGAGTTCATGCATGTGAACAACCACTTTATGTTTAATCCCCATGGAAATCTCTCTCTGTTGTTCATGCAGAACCTCTCTGGTCTGGCCGTGAGCCCAGAAAGAGCAGATCCTCAGGGACAAGAGGCCTGTTTGCCTCCATCTGTGTGTAATTCCCATGAGGTGCTACTGTACTGCCAGCTATAGTTAGAAATGCAGAGACAGTGGGCTTCATGTTCCTGAGGACGATGATCTGTCCTCTGTTTGTTTGTTTAGCAGTTGTGTTCAGCTCCTTGAGGACATTGCCATAGTACCAATAAATCTGTTTGGGCAGACTGTGGTATGGCATCACGTTTATCATTTATGAATTATCTCGGAACACACCACCCTATGACCGGCGTCAAAAACCCTGACAATTCCAGCCAAAGTCAACACTACTGACTAAATACAAAAATGTATGTGTACACAATAGTCATAAAAAAAAAGTCTGGACACACAACACCCCACATCCATAATTTGACAAAACTACAAAGCTATTCTTTATCATTATTATAATAAAAATACAAAGCATAATGTTACAAAGAAAAAAAAGATTACATTCTCTTAAATTAAGACATCTGTATCTGTAAAATTCACTTAGTTGTTCATTGAAGTATAGATGAAAACAGACCTAACATGAAGACAAGTCTGAAAAAACTGCCTATGAATGAAGTTGGTGCTGGTTTTGATACTCACAGGAGATAAACGGCCAAACTGGTGAACTCTCCCTGACTCTGAGTCTCTATACCCACTGCACACAAAACTGACAACACAAACACACAGGACTCATGTTACTGTAACCTCAACCTGCAGGAGTCATAATCAGAGGAGATTAAAGTAGTATTTTGGTCATCACTGTGAAAACTCCTTAACATAACAGAAAACCCACTTGGTTTTCTTGCACAATTGACCAACTATCAATGTATCATTTTAAAACAATGTCTAAGACCCTGCTGAAAACAACAAAAGAAATCATCATAGAAAGTTTTAAAGGTTTCACCAAAAATGATATTAAAACTATACCAAACCTCAAAATTATGACCATTAAAACCAGTATTTTGTTTGTGTGCATGTGTTTTTGGACATTTTCCTTATGGATTTATTGCTTTTAAGTCACCAAATTATCAGAGGAGACCCACATGACCAAAACAGTTTCTATTAAAACTAACATCAATTCCTTTTCTAACTATTAAAACCTAATAAAAAAAATGATGAGACATTTGTAGGCCCACATGTGCAAAAATACGTAGATGTTTAGCCCATTATAAAGCTATGTATTTACTTATGTAAATGTGTGTAAATTTATTTTTATTCAGTTTTTAAATTAATTTCACTAATATTATTATGATATATTAATAGTAATATTCAAATGTTCATATGATTTATTTACAATAAAGATTGTGAAGTAATATTTTCTGCTTTTTAGTAGATTTATATGAGAGATTTACTTTGTTTACCAAATAAGTAGATCTAAATAGAAATAAAAGTTAAAAAGGTATTATTTTTATTTAACAATTTTTTTTAGTTATGATACTTCTAAAATAATTCTGCATAAGTCTGCAGATTTTTTTTTACAAAATTATCTGCAGAAATACCAAAAAAAAATGTCCGCAGATTTTGTCTGGTCCTAGACATTTGTTACACTGCAATGTTAAATTTTCAACATCAAACGTCAGAGAAGAGATGCCTAAATATAATTTAAAGGCATAAATGGAAAAGCATGTGTGCATCATGTACTTTGCTCACCTCATTTACTTTATTTACATGTTTCCATGTTTACATAACACAGATTGTTTTTATGCCTTTTTAAATGTTTATAAGTGTGTTGTTGCCCTTTGTGAACAAGTACATTTTTGATATTATTATTTTTGTGTTAGTATTGTGTTTTTTAAATGTACAACTGTAAAGTATTAATTATGTAATTGTTAAGCATCAACCAAGAAATAATTTAGTTACAGATATCATAACATTAAATCTTATACATAAAAAAGGCTTGCAATTTTGTTTGTGACCACAAGATGTCAGATTTGCCCCATGCACACCGCAGCTGTCCAGTTCACTGTGCAATGCAAAAAATAAATAAATAAATAAATAAAAAGAAAGTTTAAACCTGGCAAATTGAGGGTGGGGATCATAAGCATGAATTAAACATTTACTTCAGATTTGTAAATTGAATACAAACCATTTGATTTTTAATAGTAAAATGTTTAATAGTAATACACTGTAAAACCCAATAAGTTAAGGTAGCTCAAACCATTTGAGGAAACCGATTGCAACAAACCATTTGAGTAAATGAAGCAAATTGAGCACAGTAAAACCCAATAAATAAAGAGAACTCAAACCAACTGAGTACTGTAAAACCCGGTAAGTTAAGGCAACTCAAACCATTTAAGGAAACCGATTGCAACAAACTATTTGAGGTAAAAATGCATCTATGTGAGTATGTCATTACTTTCGATATTGAGTTCAAAACTCTTTTCAAATGAGTAGAATTAACTTTTATTAAATTAAGTCATTTCATTTGATTAAGTTGACTGTTGGGTTTTACAGTGTAATTAACAACACCAGTTGGGAATTAATGCTTAGAAATTAGATTAACATTTATTTTCATTATTAGTGGGAAATATAAAATAATGTTAAATAAAAAAGAACATAGTCTCATTTTTTTTTTCAGAAAACAAAACCCATTATTATTTATTTAAACTGTAATAATGATTGCAGTAACATCTAACAATGCAATCTTTGACAGGAATATCAGTCATCTGTATTTCACTGTTACTCATTAAAAAAAAAAAGTCTTTAAACATTCATTTACTCCCTGTGGTGGATTAGCATATACTGGTGGAAAAAAAAAACTGCAGTTTTTCCGGTTTAAATCAGGTCATGTTGGTAATTAGCACAAGATCCACTACAGATTTCAGAACAACAGTTCCATGGCAAAATAATTCAATGGCTAATGCTAATCTATGTTCTTTACAACTGGTGAAACATGTTTTGGTCACTCTTTCCAATAAGGTTTCATTAGTTAATTTAGTCACTAACATGAACAAATTAGGAACAATACTTGTACAGCATTTATTAATCATAGTTCAACATTTTCTAATGCATTAATAACATTCAAATTTGTGCTTGTTAACATTAGTTAATGCACTGTGAGTTAACATGAATTAACAATGATCTGACTAACGTTGACTAACATAAGTACTGTAATTATTGTTCATTGTTTGTTCATGTTAGTAAATGCATTAACACAATTCCATTATAAAGTGTTACCTATATTTTTATCTTGAAGAATTAGAGGCCAACAAAAAAATAACAAAGATGCAGTCCTACCTGCTGCAGTGGAGATGCCGAGTACTCTGCAGGAACATTCCACAATTACCCACAAAGCTGAGCCCTTCATGGCCGAAATGAGATGCTTTTGCCTTTAGCACATTTGATTACAGCTAATGTTCTCTATCAATAGTTTATTTTTTGACAGTTTAGAAAGAAAGTCAAAGATGGCAGTGCCAGCACAGCTGCATGGTAAGTAATCTGGTATTTTGAGCCGCAGTCTGCATCCCACAGCAGATTTTATGCTAGTAATCAGCCTAACACAATAACAATGACCACCCTCTGCTTGTTTCTGCCACATTCCACCTCTTCTCAAGGTGAGGAGACCAAACACTAAAAAAACTTCTCAGTTAAAGATTACCTGACTAGCCAAAGAGCACAAACAACACATGTTCCCTAAGGGAAAACGCATAATTCTGCACACGACACTAAATGAGTCCTTGATTATGATTTAAAGGTCACATGGAATGCATTATGTTTAAGTTGTTCTCTGACATATACATAGAAGCTGTTTGGTTTAGGTAAGGTTTAGGTAAATAAAATAAAAAAAAATCAATAAACAGCTTTACAAGCTCATGTAGAAACAAGGCCCTAGAATGAAAAGCTCAGTTTTTACCTTATTTGGAAGGGTCATGCATAATAATGAGCTCTGCTCTCAGCTCATATACACTATGAATGACTGACTGACCTCACACTAATAAGTCTGGGGTCGCCACACGGGAATGAACTGCCAACTTATCCAGCATATGTTTTACGCAGCGGATGCCCTTCCAGCTGCAACTCATCTCTGGGAAACATCCATACACACTCATACACTACGGACAATTTGGCTTACTGAATTCACCTGTACTGCATGTCTTTGGACTGTGGGGGAAACCGGAGCACCTGGAGGAAACCCAGGCAAACGCGGGGAGAACATGCAACCTCCACACAGAAACGCCAACTGACCCAGCTGAGGCTCGAACCAGAAACCTTCTTGCTGTAAGGTGACAGCACTACCTACTGCGCCACCGCATCGCCCCAACTGTATGTGCAAAATAAACATGTGTACTCAAACTTAAACATATGTTTGCATCATTACAAACATATGCCACATTCCAATACATATAATGCAATGTATATTGTGAAATAACCCAAATTTCACAATATAAGCGTTAAACGAACAAAAGATACAATAACAGTTTTTCTCAACTGCTTTGGCTCATTTTTCAAATGAAAGTATTACTTTCACATCAGAGTGGAATTTCTTTTTGATTAAAGCAAAGTGCAAATGCTTTGGCACATGTGTGCAAACAATAAGTACAATTGTCTGTAGTTTAGACAAAAACTAATTTCATATGACTTGTTAATCAACACTGATGAGTCCATTCTCATTAAAAGAGTCAAACTCTTCATAACTTCTCAATCATTATTCATCATGTAAGCTATCACACTCAAAACCATCCATTCAATTATCAAACAATTATCATCTTTGATCCACAAGAGCAATAAGATGTCCACCAAGAATACATTTTTTCATAGTCGTTTTTTTTTTTTTTAGTATGTTTTGCATATTTATGGTAACATAAGAAATATGAAATGTACAATAGAGTAATTGTACAAGCAAGATTGCACTTTACATATAAATAATAAATAAATGAAATGTAAAAAATAAATGTTCTGTATAAATACAAATGTTCATATGTTTTTTATGAACTATCAAAACAATCTCACAGCCAGGGGCGGACTGGGACAAAAAATTAGTCCTGGCACTGTTGCCATACCAGCCCACATTACCACGCCAACACAGCCCCACCCACGGACACATTTAATACTTATATTGGTGTACAGATGGTGAAATAATATAAGCAGTACCATATTTAATTAATTTTTAAACATTTAATGTATGTGACTGGAACAAAAACAACCCGTTTATAACAAATTTATACATATTCATTTCATTCATTCATTCATTTTCTTTTCAGCTTAGTCTCTTTATTAATCTGGGGTCACCACAGCGAAATGAAACACCAACTATTCCAGCATATGTTTTATGCAGCATATGCCCACCCAACTGCAACCCATCACTGGGAAATACCCATACACCGTGGACAATTTAGTCTACCCAATTCACCTGTAGCGCATAAACCAGCGACCTTCTTGCTGTGAGGTGACAGCAATACCCACTGCGCCACTGCGCTGCCCCTTTTCGAGAATATTTCAGTAAATTTTATGCATTTGACAGCATTTTTTTGCTTTCTTTGAGCTTTTTGGCACTGCCTTCCCTTTTTAACGGTCCATCTCTGACAATAAGCTTGTGTTGCACTTACTGTTTGTTTGAAATTCTTGCCAGAATTTGATTACATCCGCCTTACCTTTGATTGGGTCGGATTGGGTCGACCCATCTCGAAATCTACTGGCCGTTGCCGATTGGGCCAATGCCTAACATTTATCATTATTACTAATATCATCATCATCATCATCATCATCATCATATTCGCATCTTGCAAGAAATAAAAGCAGCCCACATGTAAAAACAATCAAAAACTGACCAGCCCACATTTAAAAAATGGTCCGGCCCTTTTGGCATTTGCCAGAATTGCCAGATGGCCAACCTGCCTCTGCTCACAGCTATTTGTAACATTTTGATTTAGTAGTTAATTCGTATACCTTTGTATGATCTCATTCATACAACTTAGTACGATTTGCACATCCCCCACGTCTCCTTTTTAAAATCATACTTTTTCATATGACTGAACTTCTACAAATTCGTACGAATTAGCTACTTAGCTGACAAAACATAAAATAGTTACGTTTGTGTTCAGGCTGGTACTACTGACTCCTCTCAGCAAATATCTGATTTATTTAAACCCTAATTTCCTTGGTTGACTGTCATAGTAAAAAAACAACTAATCATTTTGAGCAGTGTCACACAAGGACAAACACACTTTATGTTTTGAAGGCCTTGGCCAAATTACTGACATGATGGGTTTTGAAGCATGAATGAAATGTTTTGGGTGAGTAACTACATTTTGCAGACATGCAATAAAGTTCTGAAGTTCCAGCAAACCATTATTACATGTCACAGTTCAGAGAATGTTAAGGCTGTTTCAAAAAAAAAAATAAAAAATGTGCTCAAGCAATTGAGAAATACTGTAAAGAGATATGACACTTTTGGGGCACTGAATAAATTTACAGTATGTCTTTCCCGACTTTAGCTTTCTGATGATGAGCAGTGAAGAGATGAGACGCTCATTTTCAAAACAAGAGTTCCACATACATAGGACATATAAGCTGTTAAACTATTGTTATTGTTATTGTAAATGATTGTAATCTCACTTGAAAACGTTATGGCCAATCAAACGCATTTGGGGCACGGATTTAATGGATCAGAATCAGAGTATTTTGTTCAGATTGGCCTTTTTCCACAGGGATTTTACACTCACTACATTTACATAGGAATGAGGAAACAATGGTGTTTGAGACACATGCCACTGTATGTCATTTCCATTTACTGAACAATTATTATTAAGTTATGCTGGTAACTTTAAAAACTTAAGTTAGTCTATAATGTCACTGTTTAAGCAGCAAAACAAGTTATGATGCTCGAAGTTCAGTGCAGTTATTTAATGTTAACAGAATTAACTTTTTAAAGACACTTTTTAATTGCAGGGACTACAATGAGCTTCTTCCTGGGTTTGTAACATCCCAAACACTACCATTTACATAAACCCACTGTTAGGTGTGATATTACCTTTAACATACACTAGACATTTAGCCAATCACACACTGTGCCAGTTGACCAATCAGAGCCCATGGTGTATTTCTTAGGGAGGGGCTTCATACAACCAGGAATTCTACAGTTTTTTTGTGAGAGAATTAAAATAGTGATATGATTTTTCAACAAACAAAATATCAACACATTACATTGCACCTTAACGCAATTAGGATTTCAAAAATAGCTTATTTAACAGCTCATTATAAGGGTGCCTGCTGCATTAAAAATAAGAAGTGAAAAGGCTGTTTACAGTGTTATGTAAGACCTTTTCTATGTTCCCCCAAAAAGCATTTTAGTGAAAAGTCACAATATGTTTGATAGAGTGAAGAAGATTTTCCTAATCTAAAGGTTTTTTCTGAAACCTCAGATGAAAACAAAGAAGGCTTTATTTTTAGGAGTGAAGTCTGTTTCAGGACCATAAGTTTGACCTTCAGTTTCCAGAGTTTCTACTCTCCGTCCTTTCAGAGCTGCTGAGGGACACGTTCAAATTAAATTACCTTCAGCCAATCAACCAATTAATCAAAAATGTCCTTGCTCAGGGTCAGGTGTGTTTTTACTAAGCAAATGTACATGGAGGGAGACTCGATAAGCCTGTCCTAAAGCGAATGATTAATGATGGAGAAAGCAGCAGTGGAGTCCTGACACAAGACAGATGTTCATCATTCTCCAGCAGACACCATCTCTTCCAGTCTTTAGTTACCTGTGTCAGAGGTCAGACTTTTCTCAGTCATAACAGATCACGAGTGATTAGACCCACGGTGAGCCTGCATGACGACATGACACGCTGAGAGCCCATGCTAAATTAAATCTAATCGCATTTGACTACAGTATTGCTAGAATTTCAAAGCACATGTCAATGGCAGGTCTTTTGGCAATGGCACGGTGCCAAAGAAAGATCAATAACTCTGATATACTATTGACTTCATTATTATTATTATTATTATTATTTATTTATTTATTTAATTTTGTAATTGAAAAAAAAAGATTTTTCTAACTAAACTAGAATGTCTATTATTTTACAGAAAAAATAATAACAAAGAAAACATTTATCCCAATTATTTATCATAAAACAACAACTATAATAACAATAACAACAACAGCAGTTAGTATCGTTATTTTTAAACAACTTTAGTAAATAATAATAATAATATTCATTCATTTTCTTTTCGGCTTACTCCCTTTATTCATCTGGGGTCGCCACAGCGGAATAAACCACCAACTTATCCAGCATATGTTTTATGCAGTGGATACCTTGCCAGCTGCAACCCATCACTGGGAAACACCCATACACTCTCATTCATTCACACACATACACTACGGCCAATTTAGAAAACAAGCAAACTACAAACAGAAAATGCTAACTGACCCAGCCAAGGCTCGAGCCAGCAACTTTCTTGCTGTGAGGCGATCATGCTACCCACTGTGCCACCGTGATGCCAATAATAATAATAATTAAAATTATAACATAATATAATATAATATAATATAATATAATATAATATAATATAATATAATATAATATAATATAATATAATAT